ATGCTGGGGCCAGTAGTTCACACCTATAATCCTAGCTACTTTGGAGGCTGAGATCAGGAGGATCAAGGTTCAAGGCCAGCCCTGGCAAATACTTCGTGAGACTCCCATCTCCACAATAACCACAGCAAAATGGACTGGAGGCATGTTTCAAATGATAGCATTAAGCCCTGAGTTCAGACCCCAATCCCACCACTAACTGTGGGTCAAATTTGGCCTGTGAGTTGTAGTTTGCTGATCCCTGTTCTACTTTATTTCTTTCAATGGTTAAATAGTCTACCATTTATAATACAAAAGTACCATAGTTTCATCTCTTTATAAATGGATGTGCAAGCTGGGTGCCACTGGCTCTCCCTGTAATTCTAGCTACTCAGGTGGCAGAGATCAGGAGGATCCAGGTTCAAAGCTACCCTGGGGAAATGGTTCGAAAGACCCTATCTCAGAAATACCCATCACAAAAAAGGGCTGATGGAATTGCTAAAGGTGAGACCCTGAGTTCAAACTCCACTGCCACAAAAAATAAAGAAAGAAATGGATGTTGAGATGTCTAGTTTTTCTGCTATTACATAGCACTGGAGGAAGCATTCTTATCCATTTATCTTTGTGCACATGTGCAAGTGTTTCCTTTTTTTTTCTTCCTTTTTTTTTCAAAATAGCAAAGTTTTATTGAGAATGACAGCAGGAAAGTACATCCCCCAAGGAAAGTGTGTGTGGGGGATCGGTCTCTGAGCAAGATGGCTTAAAAGCAGCACTTCTAGCTCCAGAACTGTGCAAAGGTTTCCATCAGGACATGCATATATACAAAAGCTGGAATTGCTGAGGGATTTTCGTTGTTACTATTTTTGTGGCTAGAGATTGAACCCAGGGATTCACAAATGCTAAGCATGGTGCTCTGCCACTGAACTTTACCCCTGCTATTTTTTAAAAAACAGAGGACTGGGGCTGTAGCTCATTGGTTGAGTGGCTGCCTAGCATGTGCAAAACCCTGGGTTCATTACCAGCACTGCGACCTCTATCCTAAAACCTCTGTAAGAAGCCAGTTGTTATTGAGAGTCCAGTCCACACCTAGTTGTAGACTTTGAGCGAGGATGCGTGAAGTCAGACATTAAAGAGTCGGAGAATGGCTAGAAGAGTGTGGCTGCTGTGTCCCTCAGTGGACAGAAGAGGTGAGGCTGGGGAAGAACTCCATCTTTCATCTGTAATAGCCATAGAGACAGTAGGCGCCGAAAGGAATTCAGGAAGCAGGTGATGAGCTGCTGACCTGTGGTTCCATCTTTCCTGGTAGGGCCATGAGTGCCTTTAAAGATTGATCACTCTGTAACTAGAGCCACTAGGAGAGAATAAAGAAGGTAATAAAGGAAGGGCATCAGGGCATCCTTCCAAGAAAACCCTCTGCTGAAGAGGACCCAGAACAAGGTTTTAAGCCCTGGTGGCCGGAAATTAAATTAGTCCATCTTCCTGAAATAAAACATCAATAATATATGACTAGTTCAGCATAGCTGGGTGAGTTCAGAAAAGAAATGTGTTTAGAGTTGAGGAGATTTAATTAAGAGGACTCATGCTTTAGGAATTTCTTGCTTTTTATGGATTTTGCAGATTGATGTAGGTCATTATCATTTCTTTGGTTTTTATCATTTTGGAGAGCTCAAAAACTCTTAAGAGCTTTAAGGAAGCAGCTGAGCCTGTAGGTCAGCTTGCTGAAGGTTTTTTGATAAAACAGGCTTGGGACCACATTTTGGTAGGTAGACGTCAACAGTCTGGCATCGCAGGGTCTGTGTGCTGATGACTGGGTCCTCCCCACTGCCCTGCCCTCACCCCTCCCTCCCTTTTTCTCAACTCTGAGATCTGGTTTGGCTTCCCATGCATTGCATCTGAGGCCATCCCAAAGGAGGCTTGCAGACTGGGGTTTCCCTTAGTACCCATACCCGCTTTAGCAGGACGTGGAGGAGAGACAGGCAGGGGGTTGGACACAGCCTTAACTTGTGAGCCATTTCTCTCAAAATGAAAACTGGTTGTTGTAACATCTGGTTCTTTCCACTGGGCAAAATTCTAAGAGCATCTAGGAGGTGATAAATGAAGGGCTGCCCTGTTTTTGAGATAGGGTTTTGCTTTCGTTTTGCCCAGGTTGGCCTTGAATCACAATCCTCCTGATTTCAGCCTCTCAGGTAGCCAGGATTATAGGCCTGAGCCACCAATACTCAGCTCAAACCACAATTCTCTTGATCTTTGCCTCTCAGGAAGCTAGGATTACAGACTCGAGCCACCGTATCTGGCATCTTTAGTTATTTTTCAGATAGAGGCTCACTTGTGCTTTTTGCTCAAGGCCTGTTATGGACCATGATCCTCCTACTTATGCCTCCCATGTAGCTGTGATTACAGGCATGAACCCCCATGCCCAGTTTATTTGTTGAAATGAGGTCTCACCTGGGCTGGCTTCCCAGTCCCTGCTTCTTGAGTAGCTAGGATTGCAGCATGAACCATCATGTCCAGCCCGTTATTTTGTTTTTGAGATAGAGTCTTGATAACTTTGCCCAGGGTGGCCTCAAACTCACAATCCTCTTGTCTCTGCTTCCTGACTCACTGGGATTGCAGGTATGCATCAGTACACCCGGCTATAAATGCATAAAATCCTTGATTCAGCAATGCTACTTGTAGGCATTTATCCTTACAGATATACTTTCTCACACATGAAATGATTCTGTGATCTAGGTTTTTCATAGCAGGGTGTAAGAAACAGCTAAAGTGCACCAGTGGTGCAGAGGTTAAATAAATTATGCATCCACCCAGGGGGACATTCTGCTGTTGTAATGAATAAGGCATCTCTATCAACTGGGGGAAGAAACTCTAAGATAGGTTGAGGTGAGGAAAAAGCAAGCTGCAGGGCGCTGAAGGATTGTACATAGAACACTGGTGTAGAAAGGAGGGTAAGCACATTAATGCCTGGCTCTCAGGAAAGCTGGGAATCTAATGGCACTGGCTTGTGGGAGGGGACAGGTGGCTGGAGAACAGGTGACACAGAAGGAAATGTGTCTCCAAAGGCCTTTTGAATTAGGATTTTGTCTATTTTAAAAGATTCCCTGGTGTGTGTGGGGGAGATAAAGGAGAATGATGGAGGGTGAATTCAACTATGATATATTGTAAGAACTTTGGTAAATGTCACAATGTACTCCCAGTGCAACAATAAAAAAAGAGAAAAGATTCCCTACAGGCTGGTGGAGTGACTCAAGTGGTAGAGCACCTGCCTAGCAAGTGTGAGGCCCTGAGTTCAAGTAGCCTCACACTTGCTAGGCAGGTGCTTTACCACTCCAAATTCCCCATGCTGAGGTTATCAAGAGTTTGGGGTGCTTGCGTACCTCTACTCTGACCCACTAGCTCCCTCCTCCTTCCCAAAGGACACATTTAGTCACCCTTTCTTCTGCTTCCTGAGCTTTCCTGCCTTGGCCTACACCCTGAGCCACTCCACCAGTCCTTTTTTGTGATAGGGTTTTTCAAGATAGTGTCTGGCGAACTATTTGCCCAGACTGGCTTCCAACCACAGTTTACCTTATCTCTGCCTCCTGAGTAGCTAGAATTACAGGCATGAGCCGCCAGTGCCTGGCTCTCATTTTGCCTTTAAAAAAATTTCACACCTATTTTGTTTCCATTCAGGTTCTCTTTATTGAATTTCTTGACTGAGTAGATGCTTTCTGTGTGATGCATTATGCCATGGTCTCATTACTGAACACATTTTGTGCACGCCAGTTTTTGTTGGTACTTTCAGAATTGAAAAATATTACCCACACAAGCTAGGATATTCAAGTCTATGTGAGCACACGGTGAAAGGTTTTTTCTCTTTTTAGACATCTGTTCCCCTATTGAGACTGCCACTGTTATCATTTGAACATGTATGTTTTTAATAATACTGCATATTTATCAGCATATTCCCATGTGGTGCTGGGTTAAACCCCAGGGCCTTGCACATGCTGGGCGAGTGCTACCACTGAGCTACATCCTCAGCCCTTGGTGTTTTGGGACAGGGTCTTGCTGCGTAGCCCAGATTGACCTCAAACTCAAAATTCTTAGTATTTATTTATTCTTGGTGCTGGTGACTGAGCCAGGGCCTTAAGCATATTAAACATCACTCTATCACTGAGCTACATCCTCAGCCCCTGCTTTGTTTTTAGAACAGTTTTAGGTTCACAGCAAAAGGAAACAGAAGGAACCAAGGTTCTGTATACTGTCTGCTCTACTCCTGCATTACCTCTACCATCATCAGCATCCCCGCCAGAGTGGTACAACTGGAAAACCGACACTGACTCATCAGAATCACTCAAAGTTTATCATTTTTATCTGGGTTCGCCACTCTTATATCCCAACCACCACCTTTTTTTTCTTTTTGGTATTGGGAATTAAATCCAGAGCCTCACACGTGTGAGGCAACTCATATCCCCTCCTTCCATGCTGTGTAAACTATAGGATAGGGTTGTGTTTAGATTACTACCTTCCTTTTAATAAGTGCACAGGCCCCTGTATGTATTCTAGTGTGTTTAATCTCTCTCCTCTTGACAGGAACTGGACTTGCCCACAGCCTATTGCTACCACAAATGATACCACAAAAATAACCTAGTATAAATGTCTTTATAAGAGACATTTATTTATAGGACATTTTTTAGAAATACAGTTGCTAGGTCAAAAGTGATGTACTTTTTTAGTTTTCATAGGTGGTTTCAAACTGCTCTCCTCAGAAGCTTAGTTTGCAGGATGTAAGATCACTCGGGCTTCTAAAAGGTTTCCATGTGCGTCAGCCTGTAGTAGTATCAGATCAAGTATTGACAGTGTTGGGGAACTGGAGTCTTTCTACAACTGAAGCTGTTTAAGCTCCTATGAGGAAATGCACAGAGTAGTCAGGTTATTAATGATGGCTGTCGGGAGGTTGCAGGTGAAGATGATTTGTGTGTGTCAGCTGCTGTCAAGTAGCCCCAGTGCCAACTGCACTGTACTTACTACTTCTGCTTTTTTTCTAGGACCTTAGCATTGTGAGCCATTTTGCATTCATAGCCCTCAAGACAGTCTTTTCAAAGTTCACCATGTCCAAGTTCAAAAGCTCAGAGTCAGTCCGGGTGGTGGTTCGCTGCCGGCCCATGAATGGCAAGGAAAAAGCTGCTTCCTATGACAAGGTGGTAGACGTGGATGTGAAGCTGGGGCAGGTGTCTGTGAAGAATCCCAAAGGTACAGCCCATGAAATGCCCAAGACCTTCACCTTTGATGCGGTCTATGACTGGAATGCCAAGCAGTTTGAACTCTATGATGAAACATTCCGACCGCTTGTGGACTCTGTCCTCCAGGGTTTCAATGGAACAATTTTTGCCTATGGACAAACCGGGACTGGGAAAACCTACACGATGGAAGGTGTCCGTGGTGACCCTGAAAAAAGAGGAGTCATCCCCAACTCATTCGATCACATTTTCACCCACATCTCTCGGTCACAGAATCAACAGTACCTGGTCAGGGCTTCCTACTTAGAGATCTACCAGGAGGAGATCCGGGACCTGCTCTCAAAGGATCAGGCCAAAAGGCTTGAGCTCAAAGAGAGGCCAGACACCGGGGTGTATGTGAAAGACCTGTCTTCCTTTGTCACCAAGAGTGTGAAGGAGATTGAGCACGTTATGAACGTTGGGAACCAGAACCGATCAGTTGGTGCCACCAACATGAACGAGCACAGCTCGCGTTCTCATGCCATCTTTGTCATCACGATCGAGTGCAGCGAGGTCGGCCTCGATGGGGAAAACCACATTCGTGTTGGGAAGTTGAACCTTGTAGATCTTGCTGGCAGTGAACGGCAAGCCAAGACTGGTGCACAAGGGGAGAGGCTGAAGGAAGCAACCAAGATCAACCTGTCCCTGTCAGCCTTGGGTAATGTCATCTCTGCCCTGGTAGATGGCAAAAGCACGCATATTCCATATCGAGACTCAAAGCTTACTAGGCTCCTCCAAGATTCCCTTGGTGGCAATGCCAAGACTGTGATGGTGGCCAATGTGGGACCTGCGTCTTACAATGTAGAAGAGACCCTGACCACTCTGAGATATGCCAACCGTGCCAAAAATATTAAAAATAAGCCAAGGGTCAATGAAGACCCAAAGGATGCCCTCCTTCGAGAATTCCAGGAAGAAATTGCTCGGCTCAAGGCCCAGCTGGAAAAACGGTCCATTGGCAGGAGGAAGAGGAGAGAGAAGCGGAGGGAAGGTGGTGGCAGTGGTGGGGGTGGGGAAGAGGAGGAGGAGGAGGGAGAAGAGGGTGAGGAGGAAGGGGATGATAAAGATGATTACTGGCGGGAACAGCAAGAAAAACTGGAGATCGAGAAGCGGGCCATCGTAGAGGACCACAGCTTGGTTGCAGAAGAGAAGATGAGGCTGCTGAAAGAAAAGGAGAAAAAGATGGAGGACTTGAGGCGGGAAAAGGATGCTGCCGAGATGCTGGGCGCCAAAATCAAGGTACTGTGCTCTACCTCAGACCCTTTCCTCCGCCTGTGCTTATGTTTTATTAAAAAGTGACGCAAGTGGCAATGCCACTTTTGGTTTTGCATTTCCAGCTGCTCCATATCTGGTGCTCAATAAACATTTGTTGAATCAAAATGAGGAAAACAGTTTTTTTCCAACTTAAAAAATTAAAAATTGAATTAGTAATAATTGTTCCATGTGTGCACAGAATAAAGAACAGCAATAAAATTACTACCTATGCCCATCCCCCCAACACACACCTAGTGTAAGAAATACAACAGCACCCTGTCTTTAGAAGCTCAGTGTTCCCTTCCCCAAAGGTAACCATTACCCTGAATTTAGAGTTTATTATTTCCTTGCTTTTCTTTAAAGTTCTACCATCTATGTATATATCTTTAAATAAATCATAGCATAGTTTCACCTGACTTTTTGTAAGTGTGGTACCTGCAGTTTGCTTATATATTTAACATTCTGTGCATGAGATTAATCTGTATTGATGACTGTAGCTGGGATTCCTTCATTAGTACTCTTTAGAGTATTCTGTTTTGTTTTGGGATTTCTGAGACAGGTATTGCTATGTAGCTCAGGCTGGCTGGCTTGGTACTCTCAATCCTCCTGCCTCTGCTTCCCAAGTGCTGGAATTTCAGGTACGAACCGTCATGCTTGGCCTTGCTGTGCAGAGTATTCTGTGGCCTTCCATTCTCCTAGTACTGATAGTGTAGATTGTTTCTAAGTTCTGCACTGGTTTTTGTGCTGGGCTGCAGGAGAGCATGAATGTGTGAGAGTCCCTTGCCTGGCATCTCAGATGCTAGTGAGCTTTGCTTTGCTAGAGTAGATAGGGACAGGCTGTGTGGACCAGCACTTCTCCCAGCATGGTGTAAGTTCTGTTGCTCTTCACTTGCCAACACTTGCAATCATCAGACTAATCTGCTGGGTATAAAGTGGTGTCTCGGTGTGGATTCTGTCTGCAGTACCCTGATTGCACAAGACACAGGGCAGTTCCATCACCCCAGATTTCCTGGTGCTGTTCCTGAAGCCTCCCCCAGCCAACCCCTGAGTGCTAATATCCTTCTTGACATCTGTGTTGGTTTCTCCTGGTGATTGAGCAGTGTTCTAGAGTGTAGAGACGCCCACAGTTTTATGTCTTCTTTCTGGTGACCATGTACTGCTCCCCTGGGTGCCTGGACCCTGGGCTGCCACTGAGCTCTGATGGCAGAGGAGAATATAGAAATGGCCGTGTAGGTCTAAGGGTGGCCACTGCCTAATACTGTAGCCAGCAGTGCTTTGAATTATTGGGTTCTTATTGAATTTATATAAACTTTGATTACTACCCTGAAATGTAACCATGTTTATTAATTTAAAAATGACAAATTCTCCTTCCCCTTCCCTTGCTATGTGAAGCTGTGCTGTATTTATCTGTGGCTTCATAGGAGTCTTGTGATAGACCTCCATGCTATTTTCTGGAAAGACAGGGATTTTAAAACCCTGAAATTCTTTTTCACTTCTTTTAAGACCCCATGTGAGCTGGGTATAGTGCCTTACACCTGTAATTCTAGCTACTTGGGAGGTGGAAACAGGAGGATCGAGGCCTAAGATCAACCCTGGTAAAGTGAGAGATGCTGTCTGAAAAACAACCTAAGAGCAAAAGAATGGGGTATGTGGCTCAAATTGTAGAGTGCTTGCCTAGCAAGCTCGAGGTCCTGAGTTCAGTCTTCACTACCACAAACAAAAAGACACTCTGTGAAAATGAAGGCACAAACAACACAGTTAAATTAGTAGGCCACTTTGTTCCAGGGGGCGCTCACTATGGGATTTCTTATGTAAATGCCCACTCCTGCACTGAGAGTAGAACTGGGAGTGCTCACATTTGATCTGTATGTGACGTTTTAGGATTCCTGTTATTCAAGGCCAGGAATACCTACGCTCTCTAAACAACCTGGGGTATTTGGAGAGCTTGCAGAGGCTTCCTGTGGCTGAATTCAGCATTACATCAAAGTCACTGTATCTCTTAGATGGTTTGTCTCTAGGAGAATAACATTACTCTGTCTTTCTCACTCCCTGGATGCAATAAAATCATAGAACACAATCTTAGGGCTGGAAGATACACATCTGGGAGGTTAGTAATCTAGTCTAGCCTTTTTTTTTTCTTTTTTTCTGATGGGACTGGGTTTGAACGTAGGGCTTCATGCTTGTAAAGTAGGTGCTCTATTGCTTAAGCCACACCTCCAGTTCATTTTTGCTGTGGTTGTTTTGGAGATGGGGTCCTGTGAACTGTTTGCCTGGCTGTCCTCAACTTCAGCCAACCAAGTAGCTAGGATTAAGAGAGCCACTAGCGCCCAGCCAGACTCTTTGTTTTGAGGATGGACTGAAAGGCAGCAACTGAGCCACAGTTTCTTTTTCTTTTTCTTTCTCTCTCTCTCTCTCTCTCTCTTCCCCCTCTGTTTCTCTCTGGTATTGGGGATTGGATTCAGGTCCTTTTGCATGCTAGGGAAGTGCTCTACCACATGAGCCATGCTCCCAATCCCTTACTTTTTCTTAAAAGCAAGGCTGTGTACTTTTTAGATTTCATACTTTTCAAGTGCAAATCATTCTCCTGGCCTCAGTCCCCATCTAAATGCAGAAGCTTGTAGCCTGTGTATCCACCCCAGAGCTGTCTCCTAACCTGCAGGCCCCATCACTGTGATGCACCTAGCCACCCAGAGTTGCCCCCACCTTCCTTACCTCAGCAAAGCCAGACTCTAGGGCTTGTGCTTGCTAGCTGGCCCTCCCTCTCTCTTCTTGGCCTGGGCAGTCCCAAGGCTCCTGGCTTCTACCTCAGCAGGGTCTCGTGGGCGCCACTATCACTGCTGCATAGCCCAGGCCTGCACCCTGTCCAGGCTCCCTCTAGCCAGCCTGCCCCCTTCGGTCGTTCTTCCCGTTGCAGGGTAGCAGTGTCCCTAAAACACAAATTCGATGTGCACCCTCATGCTCAGAGAGCTTATGGGTACTTCCCCAAGGCTGTCACAGTCAAGTTCAGTCTCCTCAGCAGGGCTTTGAGGCTTTTGACCTGACTCATGGTTGCTTTGTCAGCTTCAGGAATCGCTGCTCCCTATTTTCTTAGTGCATTCCTATTTTCTCAGTGCAGATGTTCCGCAGGCAGGAGCTTTCCTGGACTGCCTCCGATGTCTGATCCTCTCCCTCCAGTGAGCCTCTTCCTTGATTCCTCTGAGCTTTCCTCATAATGGCCGGCACTGTCTGGTTAAAGCCTGCTTATTTCTGTGTCCCTCCTGGGCGCTGAGCCTTACAATTCTCACTGACAGTTGCATCCCTAGTCCCTAGCACATTGGAGGTGCTTAGTATGTTCTGATTGGGATTAATGCTCTGTGTAAACAAACCCAAAAAGTACTTCATTAAAGAAACCTGAAATCCATGTATGTCTGAGTAGCCAGACCGTCACTTGGGGTGAAGTGAAGTGAAGCTCCATTCCACTTACAGGAGGTATAGCTGAGCATAGTATTTTTTTCCAGAGTCTGTCCTCTTTGGCTCAGTGATAAGCTTTTTTTTTTGGCAATACTGGGACTTGAACTCCTGGCCTTATGCTTGCTAGGCAGGCACTCTGCTACTTGAGCCACTCTGCCAGCCCTGTTTTGTGTTGGGTGTTTTCAAGATAGGGTCTCACGAACTGTTAGCCTGGGCTGGCTTCAAGTCGTGGTCCTCCTGATCTCTGCCCCATAAGTAGCTAGGATTACAGGCGTGAGCCACTGGCACTTGGCACTTTTTTTCTTTTGAATACAGTATCTCCTTGAACTCTGAATGCCCCCGGCCTCAACCTCCCATGCTCTGGGACCACAGGCATGTGCCACCACCTCCAGCCAGTCCTGAGCTCTCCCTGAGAATTTGGGTTCTGGGGAGACCATTCACAAGATGGATTCTGCTTTGTTCCTCACCCAGGCCATGGAGAGCAAGCTGCTTGTTGGAGGAAAAAATATAGTAGACCATACAAACGAACAGCAGAAAATTTTGGAGCAGAAACGGCAGGAAATTGCAGAGCAGGTAACTTTGCATTCCTGTCTGGGAGGCTGGGGTGGGCTAAGGGACCCTGTGCCACAGAGCACACCTCTCTGGTATAGGCGCTCTGCAAAGGGAATGGAGGTGAGGTGTGTCAGCTTCATGGTAGCTGGAGACTGATTGGGAGTACCCACCTCTTGTACAGACATAGTCTCTAGGGCAAGCTGATGAATTTTGTGATATTGCTCAGAAACGTCGAGAAAGAGAAATCCAGCAACAGATGGAAAGTCGAGATGAAGAGACCTTGGAACTTAAAGAGACATATAGCTCATTGCAGCAAGAGGTGGACATCAAGACCAAAAAACTCAAAAAGGTAGGAGAGAGTCAAGGCCAAGCCAAGGTGCCTTGGGACTTAGGTGCAAGGGAGAGCCCTGATCTTCAGGCAGTCCCTCCTCACCTGCCTCTGCCCTGGCTTCCAGCTCTTCTCCAAGCTTCAGGCGGTGAAGGCTGAGATTCATGACCTCCAAGAAGAGCACATCAAGGAGCGCCAAGAGCTGGAGCAGACACAGAACGAGCTCACCCGGGAGCTGAAGCTCAAGTAAGTGCACAGCCTTCTGTAGCCTTGTCTGTCAAGTAGGAGACAGCCCTGGGGACATGGCCCTGCCTGCCTCTGGCCAGCTTACCTCTAGCTCCCTACTGTCCCTGCTTATTCCTGAGAAAGTCACTGCCATCTTGAGGTCCATCTCTGGGAGGGCACCAGATGGGGTCCAAGTTCTCCTCCATCCTTCTTTCTTAAGGCTTTTAAAGTTTCTGGCCTTATCTCTGCCTGCTGCTGACTTATTAACTTGACTTTTTATTATGCAATTTTTCTGAATAGTCTAAGCACTCAAGTACTCACATCACCTAGGTTCAAACGCACTTTGAGAACCTTGGGTCTCATGAAGTCTGGGCAAAGACAGTTGTCAGAGCTCTGCAGGTGGTAGTAATGTAGCCTGGGACTTGTCAGCTAATTGTTACAGCCAGTAGGACCTTGCTTGGAGCCATTACGTCATTAGGGGTTACAGAACAACGTAGTAATCCTCACTGGAATTTTTCCTTAAAGAACTTTTCAAGGAGATTCTTTTACTGACCAAGCTTTAAATTTGAAAAGGAATCCTTAAAATTAAGGGCCGAAAGCCAGGTGCTTTTGGCTCACGCCTGTAATCCTAGCTACTTGGGAGGCTGAGATTGAAAGTATCATGGATCAAGGCCAGTCCAGAGAAATAGTTTTCAAGACCCCATCTCCAAAATAACCAGATTAAAATGGACTGGAGGTGTGGTTCAAGCTGTAGAGTGCTTGCTTTGCAAGCCTGAAGCCTTGAGTTCAAACTTCAGTCTCATGAATGAATGAGTGAATGGAAGGCTGTGTGTGGTGACTCATGCCTGTGATCCTAAATACTCAAATGGCAGAGATCAGGAGGATTCAGGCCGGCCTGGGTATAAATATGAAACTCTACTCAAAAAATAACTAAGGCAAAAAGGGTTGGTGGAGTGGCTCAAGTGGTAGAGCACACCTGTCTATCAAGTATGAGATCCTGAGTTCAAACCCCAGTGCCACCAAAAAAAAAAAAGTATATCAGCCTTCTTTGTAGGGATGTACACCTAGAAAAAAGATCAGAACAAAAGCTACCAAAATATTAATAATAGATATCTCTGGATAGTGAAATTTTGAGTAATTATATTTTTCACATTTTCTATTGAGTAAATAGGAAAAATGTGTTGTAAAAAATAATTTCTGAAATGTTAAGGTAAATAGAGAAAATTCAGCTCCCTAAACACTGTGTTTTCCCTAAGGAAGCCATTTTCATTGTTATAATCTTTTTTTATGTCTTTTGAACAAAGGACAAGTCACTCTGTTTCTCAGTACCCTGCTTCTCTGCAGTGTTTGTTCTGCATGCCTCCTGTGGTAACACACCCTTGGCACTGTCCGTCCTGAGGTTTTGGAAGAATGGAGGCAGAGATGGGGATAGTCACCACTGTGGATAGATGCATCCCAGTGGGTTCCAGTTTCCTTGTTTTAACACTTTTTTAATTTTAATTTTTTGAGACAGTCTCACTGTGTAGCCCAGGCTGGATTTGAATTCATGATCCTCTGCCTTAGCCTTCTGAGTGCTGGGATTACAGGCATGCTTCACCATGCTTGGTTATTTTATTTTATTTTTTTTGCAGTACTGGGGCTTGAACTCAGGGCCTACACCTTAAGCCACTCCACCAGCCCTTTTTTAATGAAAGGTTTTTTCAAGATAGGGCCTTACAAACTTATTTGTCCAGGCTGGCTTTGAACCGTGATCCTCCTGATCTCTGGCTGGGCAACAAGCTGTGGGGCTGCAGGAAAACGGTTCAATTTCTAACTTGTGTTCAGCACTTGGAAAGCAACACACTGGCCTGGGAGCATCAAGGACCCATGTAAGGGCACTCTGGTAGCAAATGTTCACCCACATTCTCCTGCGCTCCTCTCCATATTCCTGGGACAGCCCACACTTAGCACCTGGTGTGTCTCAGAGTGCTGTGCTGTTACCTCCTTGTCTGTGGCAGGGACCAGAAGTTTTTCATGTGTGTATCATGGTTCTGTGTCATGTTAGGCCCATAGCAACATGCTCAGTAAATGTTTGGTGAGTGACTTGACTCATACCTAATTACTCCGTCTTCATGATACCAGAAAGCCAACTTGTTTTGTTTATGCTGTTGGTTTTAGAGGTAGGGTCTCATTATATTGCCCAGGCTGGCTGCTGGCTCAAGTGAATCTCCTGCCTCAGCTCCCAAGTAGCTGAGGCTATAGGCATGTGTAGGTCTATGTGTTCTTCATCTGTACTAACCTATGTTATGTGTGTTCTTACAGGCATCTTATTATAGAAAATTTTATCCCTCTGGAAGAGAAGAATAAGATCATGAACAGATCATACTTTGATGAAGAGGAAGATCATTGGAAATTACACCCGATAACCAGACTGGAGTAAGTCACTGCTGACTTGAAGTAGACTTGCAAGTGGGGAGGAGGCAATGCTGATAGCTGCACTTGGCTAACACTGTGTGCTGAAAACGGTTGGATCCATTTAAACCCGGAGCCCTTTGCATTTCTGACTTTGTGGCTACCATAGGTCTCTGAGGTGAAAGTTCCATGCTGAATGTGGTGTTAGGAATTGGGAGGTTCTGTCCCCCACGACCTTCACAGCCTTTCCCACATTCCACAGAGGAGCTTCCATCTCCTTTGTCAAGTGAGGTGTGCAAGGCCAAATGACAGACAGTGCAGAGGAGTGACCTTGTGTGTCAGTCTGTGCCTGGGCCTTGCTGGGGAGATGGAGACATCCACTAAGGATGCCAAGGTGGGGAGAGTGTTGCTAGTTATACATTGTGTCTGCCATCTGACTGGGTGAGGACTAAGCTCCCTTCCAGCTGAAAGAAGCATGCCTCTCACATCCAAATCAGACAGCCACTCAAGCAGAAAAGCAGTGCAGCTCTGCCCCATTTCCATTAGCCACAGTCCCCAGTGTTCTGCTTCAGGTCTCCCTGGATCAGAGTTTCTCAAATGCTTGTCCCACTGGCCTGGTCCTGGGCTGGGGGCACACTACAGTGGGTCTTAACCTCTGTGGTCCATTTGTAGGAATCAGCAGATGATGAAACGGCCCATCTCCGCTGTGGGGTACAAGAGACCACTGAGCCAGCACGCAAGAATGTCCATGATGATTCGGCCAGAGGCACGGTACAGGGTAAGAAGGTTGTTTTTAGGTTTTTCCCTCTCTTTTGGAATTTTTTATTTTTTTTTTTGGAGGTACTGGGGTTTGAATTCAGGGTCTTGCACTTGCTAGGCAGGCACTCTACAGTCTCCTTTCTCTTTTGGAGGAGTTTATATTGGCATAAACCTTTAGACACTATTCTACAAAGTCCTTGAGTCTGTACCCTGAGGTACTGAGCACATTTATATAATTATAACAAGTATGTGAATGTAATAGCAAGTGAATAATGAAATCTAGATAGAAAGATAATGTACAGTAAGATTTAAAAGGTAACAAGGGGAGTATAAATATCCTGCCTGTAGTCACCAGTGAGCATTAACAGGAAGCTTCAAGATAGGTCTGTGGGAACCTTGGAAAGAACACAGATATGAAGTGACTGCACATGGGCCTGTGCTAAAGAACTTCCGCTGCTTCCATTTAATGTGTCAGTCATGCAGTCATTTAAAGTGACATAATAAAGAACTGTTTAATGACCCCAAAATATTTTACAATGAAGTGCCATCAAGCTTCTACCTGTATCCAGTGCCTGAATGCTTTCTCTATTTGAACTCTCCCATCTGCCCTGTGCGGTCAGTCTTGTTGCTTGCTAGGCAAGTGCTCTACCACTTCATCCACTCTGTCAGTCCTTTTTTTTGTGTTGGGTATTTTTGAGATAGGGTCTCATGAACTGTTTGTCCTGGCTGGCTTCAAACAGAGATCCTCATGATCTCTGCCTCCCTAGAGTAGCTAGGATTATAGGCATGAGCCACTGGCACCAGGCTGGTGTTGTTTTATAATGAAATATTTTCACTTAAAATTTAAAAACTGTTTTTATGTTTTCCTTTGTGAGTCAGAGCAAAACAGAAGATTAGGATTAGGTAAATCCTCAGCTGCTGTTCTTCCTGGCACTGAGTTACCTAAAACAACAGCAAAGGCTGGCAGAGTGGCTCAAGTGTGTAACACCTGCCTAACAAGCCTGGGCCCTGAGTCCCAGTACTGCCTAAAAAGAAAAACAGAACAGTAAAACAGATTCATGAAGAGGGCTTTTACACAGGGAAAGTTGAGTGTGTCAGACAGACTCCTCAGAAGCATTTTATTCCAGTTTCAGATGGTACATGTCACATTGGTTACTTTGTGCCTTAAGCCAGAAACATGATTTTAAATCCCACAAATCAAATATGTGGGTTTCCAGGAGCCTCATGTGACACACAGATAGAATTTAATTCAATAACTCTCAAATGATTTTAGCATTGAACCTACATCATCAGGAGAAATTCTATGCACTGTCTCAATATCTAAATCTGATCAATGGGACTATTCCTTCTCCCTACCTTCTCCTTGCAGTGGCCCCTCCTGCCTGCTCTCCCGTGGCAACTCCACTGACGAAGGAGCCAGAGGAGAAGGTGGCATGTGAAATCAGTGCTCCTCCCTCTCTCCTTCTCTTAGGAGCTAGGAAATGCTTACCACAGGATATTAGTTGAAGGAGCCAGTCCTCGAGGCAGGGTCCAGTGTGGTTTTTCAAAAGGAGCTACAAGCACATCCACTGCCAGGCACATGCACACATTCAACTGCTCCTCCTCCTGCACTGAGACAGCTCTGCAGGAGATTTTCTGTGGTGACTGTTTCGTCTTAATATATTTTTGCATTTTCAAATTGTCTGCAATAGTGGGGTTTTACTTAATATTTTTTCTTCTTATATTTTAAGGTATAAGACATGTTCTTTTTTTTAACAAAAAAATACAAAAAAAATTATACAGAAAAATATAAAATTCATCTTCAATCCTATAAGGAAAAAAATTATAAAACCATATTGCTTGTTCCTGGCAGGCTTTTGGTAGGCTCTGAATAGCAGGCAGTTTGCAATTCTGCTATCAGAAGGAGTCTAGATTGCTTGGACTCATGTGTCTGATTGGAGGTCAACCTGGCTGGTGATGGCTGTGTTTCTGCAGGCAGAGAACATTGTGCTCTTAGAGCTGGACATGCCCAGCCGGACCACCAGAGACTATGAAGGCCCAGCCATTGCCCCCAAAGTTCAGGCTGCACTAGATGCAGCTCTGCAGGATGAAGATGAGATACAGGTGGATGCATCATCCTTTGAAAGCACTGCAAATAAGAAATCCAAGGCCAGGTGAGTGGCTTTTGGTGACCTGTGTTTGAAAGAACACATTTGAGCCAGGTATGGAGGTAAATACTTGTAGTCCCAGCACTTGGGAATCGGAGACAGGAGGATAATGAGTGTGAGGACAACCTGGGCAACATAGTGAGTTCAAGGCATACCAAGACCCTGTTTCAAAAAACCAAAGGCTGGGGAGCAAACTAGTGTTAGAGCACTTGCCTAGCATGTGCAAAGCTCTGGGTTGAATTGCCAGCAATGCAAAAAAAAAAAAAAAAGGAAAAGAAGAGAGGACCTTTGAACAAGGATAAACCAATAAACCAAAGTAGTGGGTGGCAAGAGTGCTTATTTGTCATGGAGCACTTTGCAGAACACAGAGTATAGAAATTGTTGCTATGTTACTCCTATGTTATTCCACAAACGTTTGTGGTTGAGACACTATGAGACAGGCATGCTAAATTCCAGAACAACTAATGCATCTAGTCCTGCCTATAAAGAGCATGGGTTCTAGTGAAGTAGTGAAATAGAGGTCAGTTCTGAAGTTCCTACCAGGTGCCAGGTATTTCTAGTTGCTTTACAAGCATTTTCTCTCTCTCTCTCTCTCTCTCTCTCTCTCTCTCTCTCTCTCTCTCAAGGTACTGAGAGTTGAACTTAGGGCCTTATGCTGCTAGGAAAGCCAGTCTACCACTTGAGCCACTCTGCCACTCCCTACAATGATTCTCTTAATGATTTCTTGCAAAAGTAAATATTATCATCAGTACCATTTTACTGAGAAAGTTAAGACTTAGAGAATCAGAGAAAGTAGCCAGATCCAAGGAAACTAGGCAAGGAAGTAGCAGAACCAATGTTCAAGCCTGGGTCTATCTTAATCCACAGCCCAGGCTCTAGGCCTTATAATAAATGTACCTTACCCATTTAGTTTGAAATTAGAATTGTCTTTTTTTTTTTTTTTTGTGGTACTGGGGCTTAAATTTAGGGCATACACTTTGAGCCATTCCACCAGCCCTTTTTTATGATGGGTTTTTTCAAGCGAACTATTTGCCCAGGCTGCCTTTGAACTGTAATTCTCTTGATCTCTGCCTCCTGAGTAGCTAGGATTATAGGCATGAGCCTGACTTTGAATTCTGTCTTATTAAATTCTGGGTTAGAAGTTTAAGGAAGCCAGACATGGTGGTACATGCCTGTAATCCCAGCACTTGGGAGGTTGAGGCAGGATGGTTAAGAGTTTGAGGTCAGCGTGGGCTACATAGTAAGTTTAAGGCCAGTTTGGGCTATCTAGTGAGTTCGAGGCCAACCTGGGTTACATAGTGAGACCCTGACTCAAAAATAAAAAGGAACAAAACAACAATGAAGTTCCAAAAATGGAAGAAATTCTATCTGCAAACTTAATTTTTTGTTTTTTGAGGTAAGGTCTCACTATGTTACCTAGGCTAATCTTAAACTTCTGGGCCCAAGTGATCTTCCTGCTTCAGCCTCCCAAAGAGTTAGGACTACAGGTGTGTGCCACCACACCAGTTTAATAATTTCTTTTGCTGATTGGGAGAGAACAGTCAAGCTTTGATTTTAACAGAACAGTTGCTGAGTGTGAGTCCCTTCCCTTGAGTCTCATACATATGGTGACAGGCCTGTTGGCTATGCCCAGATGTTTAGGCTGGGTCTGCCTAGTGGGTTTATAGTTGAAAGGATCCTGACTTTCAGGTCATTGTAAAATGTGTGTAACACTTGAAGATGTGTAATGTCCACATGTGCTTGACTTTTACAGGCCTAAGAGTGGCAGGAAGTCGGGGTCTTCGTCCTCCTCCTCAGGAACCCCTGCATCTCAGCTTTATCCACAGTCTCGGGGGCTGGTTCCCAAGTAACACCAGCGCCCCTCTCCCAGGGCGTGAACAGCATTTCCTTTTGAGAAGAGATGAGCACAAAGCTGCAGAGAGGACTTGGGCCCAAACCTAGAACTGTTCCCCTGAGGAGGATCGATTGCCTCTTTGCAGATTAGCCAACTTAATCTAGTCGAAGGTGCTGGTTCGAATCTGGCACTCAGATACTCTGGGAAACATCCTTTAATTAGCATCTCAGAAGTGCATGGGTAAGGTAAAGCGCAAAGTCCAAGTGAACAGCAAGAGAATGATGACGTCCTTGCTTCCTTTCTCTCTTGCCTCCCCCTCCCCCATCCACCCTTCCTTTTTCCTTTCCTTTTCTAGCCTGTTCTTCACATTGGGTTCCCTTCTTACTGAACAATAGGGCAGAGTCAGGGGTCCCCATAGCAGGACTATGTCTGCGGAACCTCAAGATAAAATGACAGTGAGGTTGAAAAGTGAAAACCCGAGAACTTGAATAGGTGCCTGTTCTTGTAGGGAAAAACAAGAGATCTCATTTGGATCCAAGCCCCAGGGATCAGGATCAGCAGTGTCGCTCCCATGTGCCTCAGTAAGAAATGGATCTGCCTTTGGGATCTGCTGAATGAGGAAATCTCTCCCAGTTCCTGCCCTGAAGGTTCAGTGTCAGGAGCAGTAGAAATCACATTCCCTTTGCCTCCTTGGAGGTCTGAGGGAACAGCTTCTTTAAAAACCTCAAATCCATGACTATCCTGTCAAAGACCTAAGTCTGTAAGCCGGTGCCATGTCCATCCACCACTTTACTCTTCCTTTGTCACATCTTTCCGCGTGCACGCATACTCTGAGTATCCTTGCGTAGGCCTGGTCTCTACCTCCAGAGAATGCTCTGCAGTGGGCCTGTTTTGTGGGAGAAGGGAGGCTGGCTCTGCCTTCTCTGATGGAACAAGAGTTGGGAGAAGGCAACATATAGTGGCACTTTTGGGTTCTCCATTGGCAGAGAGAGCAGACGTAGAGATGGAGGCATGAGACTCGGAGCAGGGGAAGGACATACAAATGGAAAGGAAGGAATGCTGCCCTTAGCAGAGGACTCGCTGAATCCTAGAGCTGTCACTTCCACCACGTGGAGCCTCAAGATGGCAAAGGGAGACTTTGTGGCTGAATAGGCTCAGAGAAGAAGGTTCACAATTCCCATTTACATAGACTTGTTTGGTTTGTAAGTTTTAGTTCTTTGTATTATTGAGATTCAAATCTTTATTATGTTGGTCATTAGGTGAAAGTTAACTCATTTTCCCCTCAAGAGAAGCTCGTAAATGTGTGTGGGTGAGCATGCACGGTGGTGCCTGTGTCCTGAGTATGTCCATGTGTGTCTGGAAGAGAGACAAAGACCAAGAACTTGCCCAATTTTAGAAATACACTACCGTGCAGATGTTGCCTTTTTATGTATTAAAGGCTCATTGACTGACTAACCCAGGCTGGAAGTGCTCCCATGTGGGTGTCTGAGTCCATGAGCCAAGCCTGAGGGGACAATCTGAGTTCCCAAGTCTGTCACGCTGGTACACCTTGCTGGCATGGTGCCTCAGGAAGGTGGCGACTCAGATGGGCCTTAAATTATATTTTAACTCAGCTGCTCAGTCCCCAAGGCATATTTCTGGATCAGAACCCATGGGAAAGAGAAAGTAACCAAGTGCAATGTCTTAGTGTTCTGCAAAATGGAGACCTGTGTCCACAGCTCATCTTTTCTCTGGTAACCATTCTTCAGACCCAGGCCCTGTCAGAGTTCCCAGGGCGTAATGGAGCCTTCTTGCATCTTCTCTGGATCAAACCCTGCTTCTTCCTTATATACAAAGAATTTGCCTGCTTGAATAGGAAGCAATAATGAGGTGTTTGGCCTAAGATGGTTATCTGCTGGTGACACATAATCCTTACACCACATGTCCTCACAGCTAGTCTGAATTCTGTAGGCTGAAAGCATCCATGTAGCAAACCTGAGAATTGAAAATTGCATATTATACTAAACCTTAATTCTGATGTCTCGAGGTGGCTGTTGTGACCAAGGGTGGTTAAGTGACACATAGAACCTTCCCAAGAAGGCACAAGAAAGCCTGGTTGACAGGTGAGGTTAAAACAAGCTTGCCTTAGCTGTGTTCAGATGGTGGCCTGTGGAAGCTAAAACAACATCCATGTGGAAATGAAGCTGCCCACCCCAAGCAGTCTCTGGTGCTTTTCTTCTCTCAAAATGGATCCGATAAATATTTGAAGGGAGCAGATGGTGAAATGGCTTGCTGCTACCAGAACATTGCTGCTAGGGGTTCTGAATTGAATCACATGTGTAGAGGACATAGCAAGCCCACTCTATTGTCAAGCTAGAATGTTCTGGAACAGCAGAGGGCCTCATGCCAGCAGCAGCCAGTGAAGTCTGAAAGAAGCCTTTACAGGCTCTAGGAAGACCATCTGGGAGAAGGAGTTTGAGACTGTGTATGCAGCCCTCAGCAGACCCCTCTTTTGCTCTGTTCAGAATGTATCTGGCTTCATATTTTAAAGTCACATGTCTCCCAGACCCTTGGATTCAGAACCCAAGGCCATAAATCACAGGCATGAAGCACTTTCTTAAGACTCTGACCTGATGTTGAGTTGTTCCCTGTCTCCTGCCTGCATGCTGCTTGAATTGCTCCACCCCACACCTCCATGACCAAGGGCGCCAGAGTGTTCTACAGCTCAGGCCTAGGCTGCTCTCTGCTTTCCCTGTCTGACTCTTGTAAGTCCTGTTACTGAATGTAGACTCATTGCCAAGTTTCTGAGAAGTGTTGATTTCTTGCTAACATGGGATATCGGTTCTGCCTCACATTTCCCACTTGAGGTTGAGGTGTGCTGTGAGCAACACCTTGGACCATATTAACACCATCAATGGATGAAACTGTGGCAATTAATACACTCTAAAAGCCATACTGAAAATGGAGGGAACTAGATAAGAATAGTGTGCCTGGCAGTTGTCTACCATGCAAGGTTTTGTCCTGAACTGTGCAGAAATCTGGCACCTTTCTCTCTGCCCTTGTTTCTTGAATGAAATGCTTTAGAGGTTATTTACAAAAGGAGTGATATTGGGCAGGCAGGAAGCGTGGGCTTTATGGCTCCTTGGAGTTACTATTGATCTTGACCTTCTCTTTGGCTACCTTTAGACAAAGAATATGCCAATACTTGGGGTTCTAAGTTTTACAGTTGATATTTATTTGTATCATCTCTTTGTCTAGGAATGTAAAAGTGATTCTAAACTAAGATGTGTAATAAAAATCAATCAGATTTATTGTACCTACAAACTGTGTCCTCATAAATGACTAATGCTTCTGAAAATTACATGCCTAGCTGACACACTGCCATTTTCTTTAAACATTTCAATTTTTCTAGTGGAAGTAGGGTGGAAGTGGAAAAATCAAGATTGAGCTGCAGTGTTGATTTAAAAGATACAGCAACAAGGAAAAGGGACATACAGTGAAGAAAGACAAGGGTCAGGGATATGGTTTAGTAGTAGAGTGCTTGCTTTGCATACACAAGGTCCTGGGTTCCAGCCCCATCCCCAGAAAGAGAGAGATAGAAAAATGCTTGTCATATTTTTCCTTGGAGGTTCTTAAGATACCTAGGCCTGGGCAACAAGCATGAAATTTCTTTTCACTTTCATGAGTCTTTTTAAAGTTCCTTCAATTTTTTACACATTAACACTTTATTTAATTTTGGTGAGACTAATATTTGAGCTCAGGCCCTCACGCTTGCTAGGCAGGTGCTCTACCACTTGAGCCACTCCACCAGCCCTATACATTATACTTTAATATATAGCCACGTCTTTTTCTTTTTTAAAACACAATTTTTTTTATTGTTTACCATCAGGAAAGAAAATGTTAAAAATGGACCATTGTCTTGTGGTTTCTTACACTGTCAGGCCTGCTGTGCTGCACACTGGGGAGGTTGAGCACAGTTGGTAAGAAATAGGAGCTCAAATTGTGTACTTTAAGCTGGGTTTGAATTTGACATTGCCACTGCTTACTAGCTTTGTGACTATAAGGAATGTAATTTACCTACATCTAAACCTTGGGATCGTCTACAGCCATACCACCCTGAATGTACTCACATTTCCCACTTGAGGTTGAGGTGTGCTGTGAGCAACACCTTGGACCATATTAACACCATCAAGGATCTTGGGGTCCTTGTCTGTCAAGTGGGGTGATAGTTCATACCTTGCAAGGCCATGAAGAGGTTTAGGAATATATTGAAAGCAACAAGCACGGTGTGTGTCCTAAAGCACATTGAAAAGCATGGTTACTGTTATGATAAGGCTGTGTGTTGAGAAGATACCATGAACAGTTCGTATCATAAGAAACCAGAAGTCAGAATTGGGTATGCCATCTTTAGAATACCATAAAGAAAAGCAGTTAACTATTCAACAAATAAATATTGAGTACCTACTATGTACAAAGCCATTCTAGGCACTGGATGTAACACCAACAGTTTCTGACCCACATAGAGCTGGCATTTTTTTTTTTTATGGTGGTACTGGGGCTTGAACTCAGGACTTCATGTTTGCTAGGCTTGCTAGGCAGGCATTCTACCACTTCAGCCACTCCACCAGCCCTGAGGCTGGCATTTTAAGGGGAGAAAAAGGAGGTTAAATGTTGACCAAATGCACATAAGCATGTAATTATGAATTTTGATAAATGCCATAAATTAATATAGAATTCCATAAGAGAATAGTGGGAGGCCTAATATAGAGAAGAGTGGGTAAATAAAGGAAGGGCTTTCTGAAGAAGTGGCATTTATTTATTCTCTTTTTGGTGGTACTGGGGGTTGAACTTAGGGCCTTGTGCTTGCTAGGCAGGCACACTACCGCTTAGCCCCTCTACTGGCTCTTTTCATGTTGGTGATTTTTTTTTTTTTTACATGTTGGTGAGTTTTAAGATAGAGTCTCACTTTATACACTAGGCCAGCCTGGACTGAGATGTTCTTATTTATGCTCCCTGTGTAGCTGGGATGACAGGTGTGCTCCACTGTTTGAGATAGGGTGGGGTTCTGAGAGCTTTTTGCCTGGGCTGGTCTCAACTGCTCTCCTCCCAATTTCCACCTCCTGAGTAGCTAAGTGGCATTTATGGTGAGATCTAGAAAACAGGAGTTAGCTATGCAAGAGAGGAGGAGAAGGGATTTATGACGAGATGGGGAAGAGCATTTGTGAAGACCTTGTAGAACAAAAATGTAAAATTGAACATTTGGCAGTGCTGGAGATTGAACCACCCAGGGCCTCACGCAGGCTAGACAAGTGCTTTGTCACTGAGTTACACCTCCAGTCCCCTGCAGTCCATTTTTAGCCTTACTAGAGGGAAACATGGAGAGCTGCTATAGAAAAGATTACAGTATAGAACTTCACAAAAATGCCAACAAGAAATTTACACAGCACAAAAAGGGCGTCAGCCTTGTGACTTAGGCAAACATTTCTTGATGTGTTTCTTCATAAGATGCACTCAAAACTATGTGTAATGTCCCTTTACCCTCCCGACTTACTTCTAAAAGGATTTAAGAACAGTAACTTGGTTATTAATGGAGAATAGCTCAGAGTCCATTAGTCAGAAAGCAAGAGTTCAAAGGGTGATTTGAAAAACTGTGTTATTAAAATACCAGAATTCTAGGTTGGGCTGGTGGCTAATTCATCAGGGGGACAGATGAAGGATAGAGCACCTGGGTGACCTGAACATTCATGTCATTTCAGTTGTGTTCTCATCTTCTGGATTACTACTATAACACTTGAGACAAACTGCTAGATCTTGCAAACTGTGTTGACCTTCAAACTGATAATTTAATTTTGGGGCCCATGATTTTGGAAGGTCCTCATAGACCTGAGTTGCCATCTGACTGAAGCTTACCCCGAGAATCTGGTCTCCAAGGACCACACAGTGGTCACACCTGCCAACTGGGTTGTTGGTGGCATTTGTCGAGGACATAACTGTAGCTCTTGCAGCTGCTTCCCTCCCACCCTCGGTTTCTATCACTAGTCTTGTGGTTAACGGGTCCTGGGTACTTCTGTTAGGTGAGCCAACTGGGGACTTGCGGGTGGAGGAGGAGTGGACAGAGGAAGAGGCCATGTGCCTCATCTCTGGGCTTACTGTACATCAGGGATACTGTATTGGACACAGAGAAAGGAGTAAGATGTAGCATGGCCTTTCTGAGGAGAGGGAAAGCAGAAACAGGCCAGAGAGTCAGAGAATTGGTGCCTTCCAGAAGGCCTGCGCCCACCCCCCCATCCTCACCCCCCCCCCGCCCTCTCCCGGCCTCACACTGCTTTCCCACCCCTCTGAGGCTGGGGCCGCATGACCTCCATTTGGCTTGCGAGTTATGCCAAGTGCTTTCCTGCCTGGCACCTTACATGTTACCCTGCCTGGCAATCTTTTCTCCTTATTCTGCTTGGCCAACTCCTACTCATCCCTCGGGTACTAGTTTAATGTCACCTCAGAGACATCTTTTCCCAGCCATCTGTTCTGCTTTTCCCTCGTCTCCACCTGGCTGTGTGGGCTCTCATATCTGCTTCCTTCTTAGCCCTTTTCTGAACTTGCAATTATGTATTTCCTGGCCAGTTCCATGAGGGCATGATCTGTTTTCTTTTTCCCCCTAAGCCCAAGATTTAGATGAGTTGAATGGGTGGATGGGTACTGACACCTACAGCTCAGAACCAAGTCTCATCTGTCACTTGGTGGAGAAATTTTGGGGGGACAAAAAATGAGTAGGTTTCACCCCCTGGGGAAGGAGGGAAGAGCATCCCAGACAAAGGGAGCCTCATGAACACAGGCATGGAGTCGTCATGGTGGTTAGAGAACCTGTGAGGCCCGAGGTGCTGGAGTGGAGGAAGGCGAACAGAAGTGGGAAAGGTTTCCACTCCGGGCATATCTTGGAGATAAAGGGAGAGCCCTTGAAGGCTTTGTGTATGAAGCACAGCCCTGCTTTCATTCCAGCATTTTCTCCTAAGTGAGTCTCACAAGCTATTATTTTGAGATAACAGAAAGCAATTTTGCTAAGTGCCTGCTCTAAGCTTGCCTGCTGTTCACACAGGTTTTCTGGGCTTGGATGGTGAAATTCTATTCTTCCAGGAGCTTTCTCTGCCACAGTTCACTGCCCAAGGAATTACAAGGGGTGCTTCAGTTTGACTCCAAGGTCTCAGTTGCCTAGGAATGGGCTCAGGCATCTTCAGGGCTGCGGGCTCGAAGGTGGCCCCTTTGCTGAGATTGGGAGCAGAGAAATTAAACTTCCGCCATTGGTTTTGAAATTTATCTTTAGCTCAGTGGAAGAGCACTTGCATAGCAAGTGTAAGGCCCTGATTTTGGTTCCCAGCACCAGGCCAAACAAACGAACAACTTTATCTTTGTTGTCCAAACAAAAGATTTCCATATGCTGTTCACAACTGTGTGTCATAGGCTATTGCCATGGGCGCTGTCCTTCCCAAGCTCCTGGTTCAGTAGGGAATTATTAGCATTCACAAATAAGAAAATACAAGATGGAGGTGGACTGTGTGGGGGCAGATAGAGGCCAAATGTGGCAAATGGGCAGTGTGGAGAGGTGGGTGGGACCAAATTGAATTGTTAGGGAACAGTACTTTTAGGCCCCTGGAGGTTTTAGAGAAGAAGAGGGAATGCTTTACAAGGCCCCCTTTGGCTTTTCTATGGAGACAGAGGGAGCCAGGGTGTGTGTAGGGAGAAGCAAGGAGGCACCATAATTGACATTCTGGAGGTGGCTTGGGCCTGGCTGTGGGAAGAGAAGTGAGAATGTGCCTTAGGATAGCTTGCATTTGCTGGTAACTGGATGTGAGAGTTGGGAGAAGAAAAGGACCAACAATGGTTCTAAGACTTTTGATCTGAAACATTGAAATTCTCCCACTGCTTCCTTCCATGTAGCCTCCCTTTTGGTGGCTCATGCCTGTAATTCTACTACTTGGGAGGCTGAGATCAGGAGGTCATTGGTTCAAGATAGCCTGGGCAAATAGTTCTCAAGACCCCCATCTCCAAAATGACCAGACCAAAATGAACTGGAGGCGTGGCTCAAGTGATAGAGTGCCTGCTTTGCAAGTGTGAGGCCCTGAGTTCAAACCCCAGTACCACCACCAAAACAAAACAAAACTCCACACATTTCACACACTTTTATTAAGATCTAATTCATTTGCCATGCAATTCACCCATTTAAACTGTACAATTCACACTATGCATGGTGGTACATACCTGTAATCCCAGCACTCCACAGGCTGAGGCAGGAGAATCATGAGATCAAGGATAACCTGGGCC